TTTCCTTCTGGCGCCTCGCCGAGAACGTTCTCGGGGTGCCCGAGTCGCCCCGAGCGACCACCGGGGGTCCGAGCGATGACCCGAGGACCAGAGGAAGGAGGGAGTCGGCTGCACGAAAGAGTGACCCTTTGCTGGAGTGACCTCTGGTGCGTGGCTTTTTGGCGGCGCGCGGGGAGGGGGCAAGAGAGCGTTGTTTCATTCACTGGCGATAAACAGGCGTGACCAAGGGGGGGGAGGCGGGGGGACGCCGATCATGGCGCGATTGGCGGCGGCGGCGGCGGCTGGGAAGGCGTAGGCGGCGCCGCCGCGAATCGTGACGTGACCAGGGGGGGGGTGCGGGGGGGGGGAGGACGGTGCCCGTCACAGGGCAGGGGTGTCACAGGGCATTCCAAACCCAAGCACGCAGGCCGCTATCCTCGCATCGCGCGTCACGGTCGACAAGCCGCACACCAAAGGTCTCTTTTGCCCAGGAGCGCTCTTGCGCGTGGCCGACGCTCTCCTCGCTTGAGCTTCTCCGGACGCCGCCGGCATCGAGCGTGTATTCCAGCGCGCCCATGCCCCACCATCCCGCCCAAGCATTGGAAGGCTCCTCTCGTTCAAGGCTGTTTTTCCAAACCATCCTGTGGTGTTGGGTCCTCGTTTTGAAGAGACAGCGCCCCGCGTTCTTCCTCCCGCTGCCCTCTCCCCCCTCCTTTCACCATTCCCAACCATTCTGTGGTGTTGGGTCTTTGTTTTTCCCAACCATCCTGTGGTGTTGGGTCCTCGTTTTGAAGAGAGCGCCCCGCGTTCCTCCTCCTCCTCCCGCTGCCTCCTCCTCCCTCTCTCTCTCCTCCCGTCCCCCCCTCACTTTGGCACACCCCTCAAACGTTTCGTCGTGGCCCCATAGGGAGCTCCACCGAAGGCCCCAGTGGCAGGGTCCGCATGCGGTTCCCCGCCCATTTCGGCACACCCCTCACACGTCTCGTGGCCCCACAGGGAGCTCCACCGAAGGCCCCAGTGGCAGGGTCCGCATGCGGTTGCCCGCCCATTTCGGCACACCCCTCGCACGTTTCCTGGCCCCATATTGGGTTCCACCGAAGGCCCCAGTGGCAGGGTCCGCATGCGGTTCCCCGCCCATTGTGGCACACCCCTTGCACAGTTCGTGGCCCCATAAGGAGCTCTACCGAAGGCCCCAGTGGTAGGGTCCGCATGCGGTTCCTCGCCAATTTCGGTACACCCCTCACACGTTTCGTGGCATGCATATGTAGCTCCACCGCAGGCCCCAGTGGCAGGGTCCGCATGCGGTTCCCCTCCCATCTCGGCACACCCCTCACACGTTTCGTGGCCCCACAGGGAGGCCCTTCGAACGAGGGGCCCAGAACGCGGTATCCACAATTGCTTATGGTTGGGTCCTTCCTCAGGCTTTTTTTTCGGTTGCCCCGCTTACCCTTTTCATCATTCCCTTCCCCCTTGAGTTGCCGATCTTCACCTGAATCGATGTATCGCCGTCTCTGTGCACCGCCAGCGCCCTCTTTCTTTCTTTCTTCCTTTCTCTGTCTCTCCCTCTCTCCCTCTCTCCCTCTTTTTTGTTTTTTTTCTTTCTCTCTCTCTCTCTCTCTCTCTCTCTCTTCCCCGCCCATGACATAACCCAGTGATTCACATTCTCCTCTCGCTGCTCCTGCTTTGCTGCTGTGTCTCGCCCGTTGCCTTTTCTTGGCCAAGACGTTTCAGGGGAGCAAGGTACCCACGGCACGCTCACAGTACCCTGCTTGGTACACCCTCTCGCGAGAGGGCCTGGTGACGTCGAGGAAAAGGAATCCAGGGTCAGTCTGTCGAGCAGAACGGTACTCTCAATATCCTTACGCACGCGATGACTGTCTCACACTCTGGTTCGACACGGCCGACGACGGCAAAGGGGATCCAGAGTTCAGGTGACGCCAGCCACGACGGGGTGCCATGCTTATTCTTATTCTCATTCGTATTCCAGGCTCGGTATCGCAGCGAGGCAGCCTTCTACATCCCCCGCGCTCGGAGTGACATTACGAGCCTCCAGGACATGTTGACAGTTGGCGACACAGCAGAACGCCTCCGACGCCTATTTGGGACGCACCCGCTATGGCTGGTTCAGTTGCATCGGGCCTCCACCTTCTACTGCGACTTATTCCAGGGCCTCATCACCAGCGTGCCAACTAGGAGCAGATGCTAGTCCAGGAGGCGAGGATTCAAGCTTCCCAAACGCTGGCGCTCAGAACTTTTCGGACGCCCAGAGAGGAGCAGTGGGACATCATCATGATGAACGCTGGCGAATACGAGGGTCGCTTGGGCGAGATGTGGTCATCGACCTCGAGCAGTCGATGGTCGGCGCGCTCGTAGCCTCCGATGAGGACCAGGAGCGCCTCATGGTCCGCTGGCCGCTCCCACTTCGACATGCAAAGGACCACATTTTTGTTCTAACCATGCTCCAACATATACTTTATCGAGCAGCAGGTGTTTCTCAAGAAGATGCAGCTAGCCAGCTGCGCCAGTGGATTTGGTCGCAGCGGTTTCGCAGACATGCCATCCCAAGGGTAGTCAGCCTCCTCTCGTTCCTGCTCGAGTATGTGGCAAGACCTCCGAAGCCAGTTGTTCGGCCTTTACGGGGAGTTTACCTTTGGAGTGTCGTCGGGTTCGCTCTGGTCATGCTTGCGGTCCACCGCTTTCGGCGAGCGTGGGCCCAGCGTAGAGTCCCGACGTGGGCCCGCCAGGTCCTCGCCATGGTGGCTCCAGATCTTCGAGCGGCCATCGGGGGCTGGGATCACCCGTTGCTTCTCCAACTTTTTGGGTGCTTCCTGGGCCCTCCTCGGTCTGAGGCCCGTGCAGCTGTATCTGTGCCTGGGAGCCATGGTGGGCTGTATGTGGGCAAAGCCGTGCTCAGAGAGACAGTTTTGCCTGGCGTGTTTGGTCCGAGTTGCTGAACATGTCAGGGCGGGGCCCCGCCCAGGGTGGGGCCCTGGGCGCCGCCCTCGCGACAAGGTCCTACGGTGTAGCCTAGGTTCCTATTTTTCTTTGTTTTCTCCAGCTTCCATTTCGAGGCCATGGCGATCAGGCGCTGCCGGCCCAAGTGCGATCTGGCGGACACCCTCGAGACGGAAGCGACCAGCAGACGAAGAGAGGTGCGGGACAGCTCCGCACGATGCAGAAGTCCGGCCGTGCCCAACGGCGTCGCCCGCCGTCCTGGAGGCTGGGGCCCCGAGCCTCATCGTGGCCTCCTGCGTGGGTGACGACAGCCTCATCGACTTTCCAGGAGTATGCAGCTACGGAGACGGAGCAGGAGCTGACCGCGGCCTATCCTGGGGCGCTGTCCGAGACGGCCCTGCATGCCACCCTCCACAGGCTACAGATATGCGAGCACCGCCACCTCGCGGGTGAGATTGGCCCACTCTGGAATCTAGAGGGCCGCCGTCTCGGGCTTCTCCTGGTCCTCTTGTCGGCCAAGTGGATGGACCTCCCAGTTTGCAGCTGCGTCGGGCGTCCCGAGCTTGGGGTTCACATGTGCCTCGCAGAGTCGATGGCTAGCTACCTTCTCAGGTCATTCCACCGACGGCGCGTGGCCATGCACCGCGTCGGTAGGCACCTGCGGGGGCTTTGTCTCCCGAGCGCCCGTCGAACGCCACTTTGGCTCCCCGCGGCGTTTCAGGAGGCAGAGTTCCGCAAGTGGCGTGGCTCCGCTATCGCTTGCGTGGCCAGGGCGATAAAGTGTGCCCCGACGCGGGAGATCTACCAGCGGCCCCCTCGTGCCGTCTGCGCTAAGGCTCTGTGCTGGAAGGGCAAAGTCTCGGCGAGCCGATTCTGTGCTCACTGCGCCTCGAGTGCATTGACCCACCCGCCTGATGGGCCACCGTTGGCTCCGTGGCGTTTGCAGCGCCTGGGCGGGCCGTGGCGCCTGCCTGCGTGGCCTCGCGCGCTCCGAGCCCTGCGCGGGGCGCGGGCGACACTTGACATGTGGGCAGCGAAGGCGCGCATTCCACTGCGAGTCCTCTGTCGAGGCTCTTGGAATCTTGGTCAGTGGATCCGTGACAGATGGATCGCACCGCCAGCGGCTCCCACAAAATGGCAGAAGGTGGGGGGCAGAGTATGGTCGGCGTCTCGACGAGTGCAGCGAGTGCGTGGTCATCGCGGACGACGAGGAGTGCGACGAGGTCTGGGCGTGCGACGGGTGCGACATGATGCGGTGCCTCCACGGGCTGGCGATGATTGACCCCGACGGGGCCATGCGGCTGGACGTCTCACCGCATGGCGCTGCTGTGTGGATGCGGGGCCGCGCGGTCGCAGCCCCGCCGGCATAGCTGCGTGCGCCTCGGTGCCTGCCGCCACTCTCGGCGGACGCGCAGCCGCCGTGTGTCTTCCCCACGGCCAAAGGAAAATGCTTTTCCCCCCTTGGCGATCGTACGTGCCGCGCACCCTTCCATAGTTGTTTCCGCGGTGATGTGAATTGCTCGCGGGCCCCAGGCTCCCGCGGCCTCCGAATCATCGGCCGAGCTGCTAGCTGCTAGATGTTGTGGAGAAGTGGTATCATATCCGAGGAGGTCTTTAACGCTAGCTTGGCAGTTGGTGAAGTACGTCGTCTCCGCGGTTCTCTTCCCCAGGATAGAGCTATTCAGTGTGCGCGTTATTTCCCAGGCTATGTCAGATATCAGTGTTGTAATGGCAGAGGCAGATCGGGCTTCCGAGCAGCGCAGTGCGTCGACGATTTCAGCATCCTGGCAGGGGTATAGGCGTGGATTCTGTTCTTGTTGA